CTTTAGGAGTGCTTTTACAGTGAAGCCTCTGTCCAACTTGAGAGTTGCTCAAATCAGCCTGATGCTAGATGGAAAATTAAAGCTCCAGGAGAGATTTTAGAGGTCTCATGGCATCACGTTGCAAAGGAACCCAATTTCATTTCCTTAGCAGCGTTTGCTTTCCTGTCTATCACTGGTCCTCCTACAGACGTCACAGCAATACTTTATGCAAACTTGCTCTGGGCCTTATTGATAGATATGATTTCCTTATTGAAGTGACAACTTCAATATTTCTTGAGAAATGACATCTAGGACTACTAGTTAAAGAAGTAAATACATCTTCGTTGGCTGTTTGAGCACATGAAGAATTTGTTGACTTGCAGCTTTCTCTCTGAACTCTTCCTCATATTCCGGTACATTTCAGAAACAGTTTCTCAATTAATCAGTTTTAGGAAAAAAATCTGATCCCAAACTTGTTTTCTTTGGACACCTCTAGACTTCACCTGCAAACCAGTGGTGCCAATCCAAGGAGGGCCCTACCCCTAGGTAGACTGAAGGGGACTTCATCTTAATGCAAATCGCAGTAACACAAGCACTCTTCTGGACTTTTTGCTTCATTGCAATGGCTCTAGTTTCTTATCAAGTCCCATCTACTGTCTATATTCAAGGGCAGCTTGGCCAAACTCGGTAACGAGTGGGACAGTTGAAAGAAAAAGTTTTCCCAGTAAATGGAAGGCAGAACATGATGTACAGGTGACATGAGGCTGCCCATCACATGTAAAAATGCATTCAGGCTTGTAAAATAAAACTACTGTAGGAATGTTTCATCATTAGAGAAGCCAGGCACAAAGGAAAAATTTCTTCTTCCCTGAGATCGTCCAAATGACGATCAGGTAATACAGATCTTGTCATATATCGTAAATGACCAGACCAGAGCTTGGCTGATTAACAAGGCAGTGGGCAATGTCACTGGCCCTTCACCTCGGAAGGCCTTGTTCCCCTTCAGCCTGTGCAAGCTCCTCCTAAATGCTAAGATCTGTGCCCTCCCAGACGACTCCACCCCCTCAAATGCTGAGCACTTGTTTAATAAAAGTTTCCATTCACCTGAGCCTTGGACATGAGGCTTCTTTAGGCTTTGGCAAGAGTCAAATCAGAAGCCTCATTCTAATTTCCATTCTCAAACTGATGGCTCTTTTCCAAGATCAAAGTATTTTCCCACAGAGCCCAAGCCTGTCATCCAAATTCAATAAGCACTTTACCTACGTAAGGATTGCACAATAACTTTGCTGGTAATATCAGTGATAACATGGTAAAGTTACTGACTTGATGTCCTCAGATCAGTCATCACGGTATTTGCACTGATATTTTGTGTTACTTTTCTGTATGGTAATTAACAGGCTTTTGTAAAATGATTTCATCAAACCTTAAACATTTTCCAGAAAAAAAATCAGAATTAATGCCCTGTTACAGAGAAGAATAAACCAAGGCAGAGGAAAGTCAAGTGCATCGCACAAGGTTAGATGCTAGTACAATCAAAATTTGAGCTCCGTTATCTGAAATCCTGATCTATGCCCTGCCCATCGATACGTTCTGCTTTGGGAAAAAGCAGCGAGACGGCTGTATGTGCGGAAATTATCAACAGGTGTTCTCCTTGCACTGGAACCACAATCCACCCAGGTCTCCACACAGTGCTGCGTGACCTGGTCCTACCCAATGGCTTTTGTTCTGCACAGAGGACAAATGTCTTTCACCTTTCTTCTAGCACTGCTTGCAGGAAGTGAATCATAATGTGAATGCAGGGTAAACACCCCTAAGTATTAACAATCTTTAAAAAAAGACAAATATTTACCTGTAACACACTGCGGATCACCTTATTTTAAACATAAAATTTTACAGTAATTTTGACCGTACATAGTTCATGGCTACTATCAGCAGCTTAAATGGTTTCTGCCCTGAGAGAGAATCACGATGTTTTGTCAATGATGCTCTGTAATAGCAATTGTATGTTCCTCAAAGTACATCATGTTTTTCTTGTGATAACAGAGCTTATGTTTAGCTACAGCTATCATTCCATATGAGAACATAAACTGTTTTATGCACAACAGCATTTCCTTAGCCAAAGTTTCTTTCCGATTTCACTAGCTATAAAACATGATCTGTAGTTCAAGTGAGGTGTTAGACAGGTGAAGTGTGCTCATTAAGTGTGCTCAATTAGTCATCATAAGAATATACAAAGTTTATTAATAGAGCTGTATCATTCAATTTGAAAAAGGGTTTTGGACTAAATGCCACTTTTTTTTCTATTTTTCTCCAGTGCCTTAGCACTATGGGGCTGGGACCTCCATGACCATCATGCATAGTGAACAGCAGTAATGGACAGACGATCGCTAATAAAAGGATAATCCAACTGTTGACTGAAAATATAATCCATTTCTTGAACAGATCCCTTGATTGCTACCATAGGATCAGATCTGCATGACTGATGTGCACACAGCAGCCACATGTCTTCCCCCCTGACGGAGGCCATTTATATACTTCACCACCAGCATGAGCAAGCTTGTTTTACCTGCATCTGCTCAAAGGTAAAATCCAGACAGAACAGTATGGCCATCACACATACAGATGCTACTTGCATTAAGGTAGCATTCAGTAACTCAAATCTGGGTAAGAATCACACTGCCTGCAGGACTACATTTCGTGGGGGAAAGAGTGAGGGCCGGCATCACTGTTCCACCAAGTCAGCCACAGCAGTATACAGGGATTGGACTACGCCAGCCAAGACTCCTCAGTACCAAAAATAAAGTTTGCTCTTGTCAGCTTGCAGGAGCTGAGTTGATTGCACTGGTGGTCTCAAATCCAGATTCTATTGAAAAATTACCTTATTTTACACTTTTTACCGGCCTCTTGTAGTACTTTGATCATTTGATCTCTCTCTCCCCCATAACCTCAACAGCTGTCTCCATTTTTAGGTTGTGACAATGTTTACAATGCATGGTCCGCTTTGCACTTAGAAAACCTCAGATCTTGAAGGCCACTGTAATACCTTCCACAAGGGCAGAATCTTCTGATCCTTAAATGAATCATCTTGATATAAAAGAAGGTACTTTCTCCTCGGGTTATAGTCTTCAAAAAAGGAGGACAATTTTTTAATTGCATTCTTGAGAACATTTCACCTATCTGGGTTGGCCCTTCATAATCCAGTTCATAACTGCATAATGAATTTATTAGTCTGTTAACCACAGTCCTGACAGATATAATGGACAATGATTGCCTTTAAATCCTTTGCAGTGTTTCTTCTAAAGCCTGTGGTTTGTGCTGTGTTCTTAATAAAATCATAGTGCAGCACAGTATGATGAAATAAAGATCACCTGGGCATCCATTTTTAGTAGCCTAAGTTAGCTTAACTGTGTAATTTATTTGAAAACTACAGGCATCAGAGGCAAATGCAGGTTTAATAAAAAGAATTTAGATTCAGTAATCTCTTATCAGCCCCCAAAGCACTTGCCCAGGTACTGCTCAGGTGGAATTTGCTGGAAGTTTTGCCAGAGCTTTGCAAGTCCTTGAAACAGACAGAAGGACAGACACCGCACTGTGAACACCCGCTCCGCACATCCCACAGCGAATAGCCAATTTTTGCAGCTGCTGCAGATACTCTTCACTCAATTTTGCATGCAGCAATGATGACCCCTAATGGTGGAATACTTCTGCTGAGCAATATGCAGAGATTTTGCTTTTCAATGTGTATTTCTACTTAAATTATAACTCCCTCTCGCAGCCCACCAGCAGAGTTAACTGCTTGAGGTTTACTTGAACTGTAACAGAGAAGCAGCTTCTTTGCCTGTTTAATTCTTTCTGATTTTGTACATGGAAGCATCAAAATGGAAATGCATATTCCAGAACTAAGTCTAGGATTTAAAGTCACCCTTTTCTTCTGAGGCAGACTATCTTGCAGAAGCAAATTTCAGTCACACTGGTGTGAATAATCCCTGCAGAAAGTCTTCAGAAAAGAAGATGAGACATTTTTCTCTAGACCCAATCAGCTGCATGCCAGAAAGCAAACAGCATGCACCCAAAACGCTTCTTTGAAGCCTTATGTCAGCTATCAGATAATGCTGCAGTTGCAGCACCTTTGATACCCAGTGATCTTTTCATCAGAATCAAATAATCACTGGTAACAAAAATAATTCTCTTATTTCCAAAGTTACAAAATAATACGTTATTCTAGTATTAATTCAACATTTTAAGTGCTTGTAGAGCGTAAAAAACTCATACAATTTTTAAATTCTGAAATGCTTAATTTTTTATTTTTTTTTTTAACTTCAGGTACATCTCAAAGCCATAAACTCCTACTGGAATCTACTTCTACATCTGGGTGTTACAGATGCCAGGTACATAAAATTACATCTCACTTTTCTCTTGGGAGAGATGAGTATCACTATCTGCCCATTTTAGCTTGCCTGACACTTGCATCTATAGCAAAATAAAGAACAAGGTAACTGTATTAGGCCTGACCTAAATGTGTCAATTTTTTCCAGGCTGAGATAAACACACAGCTCTTAAAAGAAAAGAGTTGAGAGCCCCTGGCAGCTTACTGATTCGTTTACTTTCTTTTAACAATCGTAACACAGAAGTTGTGCTAGATTTCATTCGAGTCTACAAAGCACAGAGCCTTCACCTAAATAAACAAAAACCCAGAGATATTTCCAGACTGCTCAAGAAAAAACACATTTTCAAACTATGATGTCTTTTTGCACGGTAACAGTAGTTAAAGTCACATGGCTTAGTACCTACTAGAAAAAAAAAATATATGAAGATATGCTTCAGAAATGTGTCTTCACTGAATTGGCAGTTTGGTTTGGACAGTAAGGTATGTAAAATCCAATTTTTTAAATTAGAATTTAACCACTGAATTTTTCATTACCTTTACGACCATTTTTTGTGGTGGTTGGTTTTTTTTGGGGGGTTTTTTTTTTTTTTGGAAGAACAATAATTACTGCAAATACTTCATCATTCTGGCTTACCTTTCTCACATCTGAGCTCTTTGGTTCCGTTGTCCAAGTTATAATTCTAGATACAGCAAGTCTTGTCTCACTGGAGTTCACAAAGTCTGTTGGATCCATCTGTCTTGCCAAGGACTCAATATACTTCAGGATAGCAACTTTCACCTGAGAAGTGAAAAGGGATTTGTTAATCTCATGAGCTGGCAAAGATGGATTTATCCCATAATACACAGATACCACTGCAGATTTACAAGACCTATGTCACATGGGAGAAAAAAACATCCCTGTGACATGCCTCTATGTCATGTTTCAAAAATCAAGAGCAACTTTCTACACAGGATACATTTTGTGTAGTAAGAGTCTGGAATGGTATATCAGAACTGGCTTGAAATACGTATGTCTGCTTGTCTGTTTGCATAAGCAAATTAGAACTCCACCATGCTGTTTCCACCAGCAGTTACTGTTCCAGATGCCAAACCATAGCTTTTGGTCTCAAACCAAATGCCTGATGCTGGAGTCTCAAAAGATCCAAAATTTGGGAGATTGAAGAAAGAACACTTAAGTCATTTGGCATCCTGTATATTCCTGTCTCTGGAAGATAAATGTGTATGACTTCCAGAGTTTACAGAGTTCCTATAGCCTTGAAACAGCCACCTCCTGAAAAACAGTCTGCACAACAGTATTCCTTTGGGAGGATTCAGTAACAAAGTTCTGATTTTTTTTTCTCCAAATCCTACATGTGCTACATCTGATCTGGGGAACAAGCACTTGTTAAGGTGTGCCTAGGGTCCCAACTTCCCAACCATTCAGACAGGGTCTGGTCCCTTCTGTCCTGCACAGCCAGGTTTTCTTCCCACCAAGACCAGGGTGAAGAGGAATTTTCCATGTCTAAACTTTACTCTAATATGTTCCAGCGTGCTTAAAGCCCAACTCTTAATGACTTGTGATGAGTCACAGGGCCCAATTTTAAAGATATTTAGATTTATTAAAATGTAGAATGAGAGAGTTAAAGTTGTGAATATAATTTCTGTATCATGCAGGTACTTACAATATCTTATCATGAGTACTATACTTTACGGTATACCTGACATGGCAAGCTAAGACAACCGTGTCGATATTTTAGTGAAAAGGCTTTTGATACTGACCTTCAGGTTTGGTGTTTGGGTCTGATCTACAATAAATCTCATCAAAATGTTAAATTGTTGATCGAATGGAAAAGAATCCCTGTCCAAAGAAAACAAAAGGCAAAAATGTAATGCAACATAAATTTTCAGGACTAAATTAACTTGATACATTAAAGCATACACAACAGATTTCAACACCTATCACTATCATGCTTTTCTTCTTAACTTTACCATCAACCAGAGAAACTCCAAGTCTAAGGATTAGCTGATTATTGATTTAATACTGGAGAAAACGGCTAAATCAATACCTTTATACACTGTTACTCTATCTGCTCTCTGTACACTTATCCAGCTTTTGGCACACCTGTCCATTCCTTCTTCATTTCAGGCTGTGCTTTGTTCCCCTTATCTCTAGTAGCAGCCTGGTTTATCTTGTCCTTGGAGTTCATACCTGGTTTTGATTTCTCTCCTCTTTTTCCCTCCTCTGTCCTGTTTTCTCCTGGACTACTATTACTTCTTTCTTAATTATCCTATTTCCAGGATCAGCTGAACTTTATTGTAACAGTGTCCCTGTGCTGGACATCCTTAGAAAAGGACATGGACTACAGAACTGGTGTGCACATCGCAGTAGCATTCAAGGTTTTATCCTGACATTACTGTTATTTGCTGTTTGAAGAACATGAAAGATGCTCTAAACTTTGTGGTAAAGCACCACTCATATTCTGAATACTGCAAATATTTTTTTTCCATCAATCAAAGAGAAAATTTATATCAAAGCTCGTGCACAGCAAAAAAACAATTTAAAAAAATTAATCAGCTACACATTTTAAATGTTATGCTTTAAAGTTATCTATTTAGAAAAGAGACAGGCCTTTTTAATTCAATGCTTGAAATATTGTTACATAACTTTGTTCTCCTTTATTCTGGTATTCGTCAAGATTGAGCCCTCAAAATATATGGCACTGCTAGGTTTCTAAACTGTTCATCAGATGCCTTCCTGAAATCCTGTAAAAACCTCCATAATATTTGCCATCTGAGTACTCTACCTGGTGACATCCAGAGCTTTTTGAACTTTTGCCTGCACAGACCCCAGCAAATCTGCTCCCATTTTCTTTAGCAACTGAGTCAGGAGAACAAAAAGCCAATCCTGCAAGTCATCTTTATGAATGATGATGAAATCAACCAGGGTTTCCAGAAACATGCTGAAGACCTATAAACAAAACAAGTGTCACAAAAAGGAATACCATACTTTAAATAAAAATAATCAAAGGGGAGGGGTTTACAATCTGAGTTTCAGGATGATTTTGTTACAGACAGTTTCAGGAGTGAAAGATTTTAGTGACTACATTGCTCTGAAAAAAAAAAAAAATCAGACAAGACACATCTAAAATGTGTCGTATTAAAATACCACATGAAACAAATGAAGTAAAGGGGTAGAATACACTTACTCTCTGTTGTGAATTCCACGGCAAAGCAGGCCATGCAACAAAACAAACCACTCGTTAGCACACATAGTGACCAAGGCTGGTTGTTCAGATGCAGTTTGTCAACAGATGCATTCATTGAAAGTTTACATTTTCTTAAAACACAATCTCTTCTCAGTGGAGTTACTTAAAACATTATATACCTTGGATAAGATCCACTCTCCTCATTCGTGAAAGTAACATGGGTTTATATATGTTTATATGTAACAATGTTTACATATATTTAACACCACAACTAATGAGTTTGTAGCAATAATTCTATAAAAGCAGTGCAGGTGACAGATCACCGCTGCCACAGAGGACATACTTGAGTCCAGTGTGCAATAGACCTTCATCTTACTCAGAAATTGGAAATATTTTGCAAACAAATAGCTACACCTTCACTCTTTCCAGAACACATACTGAACCTTTGACAGCCAAAGCATTAAGACCTTACAGGTAGGCACTGCCACACTCAGTGAGGCCTATGGGACAGCTGGTCCAGGCTATAATTATGGCCAAAAACACACACTTCGAGCAAGACCTGTGACAGGCGACTATGCCTGCCCAGGGGATTTCCACCTGACAACTGTTTATTAAAACTGGTTTACCAAGTGGTCTGAAGTACAAATATTTATACAACTTATTCTTTCTCAAACTGTATTTAACCCAAGAGCAGATGTTTTTACCCAGCCATTACTGGTCGCCCTCAACCAGCAAACCTCCTCAGGAAAGGGCATGAAACTCCCTTTTCCCCTCTCCCTGCTCCCGCTCACCTGTCGACAGAAGACCACTGGGTCTGAACGTGCCTGTCGGCCCAACCTCCCCATTCCCTAGTCTGCTTCTTTTTGAGAGATGTCTGTAAATTCATGCCATGGCCTTTAACTTCAAAGGTCAGTGTTAGAAAGAAGGCGAAGTGGCTATATTAAAGACATTTATTTATGAGATCCCGAGCAATATCTTGGTGAGACTCCATACTGCTCCCAGGTGTAGACAATACACAAACCCCAGCAACCATGATGCTGAACTATGGCTCGATACCCTTCGTGGACCTCACGCTACTGTGAATCACCAAGACACTCCCTAGAGAAGTACAGATAAAACTGTACAGCTCCAGGAGCTGACATCTGAAAGGCATCAGGTTGCTCCTTGGGAAGCACGGAGTAACCAGTTCCTAGCAACATAAGAGAGACTGAGACACATCCCTGTACTGTAAAACAGATAAAAATCAAGGAGATTTATAAATGCCAGTTTCCCCCGGCAGATGGCAGGGGTAGAAATACAAAACATTCATCTTGGAACAGTGTCAAATGTGCACACGTGGTAGTATCAGAGAGTGAGCCAAGTCTTTGTGATCTTACCTTGCTGTGAGGGTCAGCAAACATGCGAGTAAATATTTCACACAGCCTTTTTAACTCGACTCGGCTAAAATACATAAATAAAACATGATATTAATGCTAAAGCCCTAGTTGCAGCAAAAAAGCTAATAAATATTAACAGCTGAAAGATCTAACCTTCTTTATTTAAATGTCAGTTAAATCGCACTTCTGAAAACTCTACCTAGGCAAAGCCTTAACTGGCATTCCAGTTTAACTGCTGGAATCACGAGCCTTACATTAAGAAATCTAATAAACATTTTTTAAAATCATAAACCAGACACTTATATTTTCTGCTGCTTTTATTTTCTTCTATATTCTGGATTGCAGAAGACAACTTGAAATGTGCACATTTGGGAGCTATTTACTTTCTGCCTGCATCAAGGTCGCTGACTCACTGAAACACGGGTCTTCTGCAGCCTACGAGAAGGTTACTCAAGTCTCCTTTGTGTCAGGGAATTCAAATTTTCAAGTAAAATCAGAACTTTCATGCTGTTTGTGTATATGCTAATCATAAATATTTTGGTCTACATTGTCAGTTGCTTCAGTAAAATCAGTCTAGAATCACACAGTATTAACAGATACCAGAACTGACTCCAAAGTCTGAGAGCAGGCACATTGAGACAACAAATACATAGAAATGGAAGACAGATTAACAAGTGGGCAACCTAGAAAATCAGAAGATGATTAAATCAAGGCACAATCTAAGTTCCTATTAGTAAGAGATTATTAGGTGCTCAGTCATGCTCTTTTTATGCCAGGGGAAAAAAGAATGATGGATGGATCCCTTTCATAAGATATTGAGTTTGAGTCAAATGCAGAACTGTTTGGGAAGAATGACGGATGGATCCCTTTCATAAGATACTGAGTTTGAGTCAAATGCAGAACTGTTTGGTACCAAAGCTTTTATTTGCAATGTATTGAAAAGACAAGTCTTAGTTTTCCTGCAAGGCAAACTGCCAAAGAATGCAGAAGTTTTGCTTGTTTACCGTGCAACCAAAACAGAGCAAGACAGTTAGGTAACATTTCCTGCATACTATGGATGCAATTAGATATTTTTCCACAATTACTATGTAATTAGAGCAACTAGTGAAATGCACATCAATTGCTCAGAGAACAGCCGTTCAGATCTTGACTACAGGTACCCTCTTTCCCGAAAGACGTTAATTCTACAATCCGCCAACATATCTCCCTCTCTTTCAAAATAAGCTTCAAAGAACAGGCCAGAATATGCTAGTAGTCTGCAATTATTTTATGTTAGCTTGTTTATAAGTAACATAGGACATTTTTTCAAATAAACCTATGCATGAAAGGCTGATCAAATGTTAAAAGGTCAGAAAAACAATGGTCTTAAGAATTTGATGTAGAGGAAAAAGTCTTTGTAACGATGCCACAGCAAGCTGTCAGCTTCATTCAGGATGAGACTGCGCAGTCTCAAAACTCTACAACACTCTCCTGACTTCATGCAGATTGCAGCTCTCTGAATGAACTCCTATTTATTACTCTAATGAATTTTCTTTCTGGACAAAGGTTACATGAAGACAGCAAGTATAAGCATGTCTCTTTCCAAAAGCTCATGGACCCGAGGTAACAATGCAAGTACTAAATTGAAACAGGCAGTGGAAGAATATTTCCTTAAGGGACTTGTTGGCCTTGTTTTATTTAGACGACCTTATGGGGAGCCCTTAGAAAACTAGACCACATGAAGCTGTATGAAACAAAGAGGATAGGTAAGTGCCATACCACTTTGCATGCACATCTTTCTGGATACGCAAATCCCAGCTAATGTAGGATCAGCCACTTTTCAGTTCAGAGTACTAAAGAAAACTTAGTCACATCACTGCCTTGTATTAAACTTGTTATACCACATCAGAAGGTATCAGGTTTAATTAGAAGACAGACAGACTTGCCCCTTGGACTAATGACCTTGATGATGTTCTGCAAGATGCCGTGGGAACAAACAGGATGATAAAATCTAATCATTAGAACAGGCACCAGATCAACCCTGAACCAAGGAGGAAGCAGACCAAAAGCAAACCGAAAGGAAATACAATCTAGAGAACTGAAACCAGTATCGAATTAAAAAAATAACTCTGCAAGGGTGTAGTTTCTGGGACAGGTTTACAAACTATTCAGGATCAAAGCTAAGTAAATGTGCTAGCTTGAGGGACTAGTGACAGCAGTACAGTTCAAAAACTGCAACCAGCAGGATTGAAAACAATAGTTGAATTCTACTGGCATTTCTGCTAAGAGCTACTGATCTGGATAAATAGCTTAATCACCCAACCTTCTCAGCATTTCCTTCCTTGGAACTATCCCCAACAGCACTCAAAACCTTGGTTATAATCCTCACACGCCTTTGTGGCAAAATCAAAGTCTCACTCAACTTTTTCATGCAAGTATATGAGGTGCCAGAGTCTTTCCAGACAGTTCGTTAAAATAAAGAAAAAGAAAAAAAAAAAAAACAGCATACATGTGGGAAGTATCTTTTAAAAGACTCGTAAACAGACCACATCAAAAAGCATCTCTTATCTAGAGACTTTAACTACCCATATTAAAAAACTGTAGCACTTCCCACTTAAGGACTGCATCACATCATGTGAAGTGCTAGAATATTTTTATGATGGCAGGAGAATAACTTTTCCAGGCCTGCCCTCAGTACATTTTCATTCAGTCTGTTAACGTGAACCATCAAATATTTTCAGCCAGAGAAGCCCTTTTAAAATGGAAACAATCACGCAAATCCAAGTAGGTAAGCTATAAACCATATAACAACCACTTATAAACTTGGTTATAATTTAAGTACATAATATTCATAACAGGAAAATAAAAACGTCGCAGCTATTTGTGAATGTTATCTTCAAAGGAGCCAAAAGATAAACAGCTTGTTTCCAAAGACTTTCACCATAAACTAAGGGTGAAAAGCCCATGGCCTGAGAGCCAGTTGTCTTTTGCTAACGTGACCTGTGGCCATATGAAGTTTCCACATGACTACTGGGTAATTCTAGGATCTGTTTTAATGTGTGACATGCCAAAGGTGTTTGAAGGGTTTATTTGGCTTTCAAAAAGGGAAGAAGGTCTGCCTCTCCCACCATAAGCAAAGTTTCAGAGTTGCTACACCTATTTCATTGCCTTAAGAAACTTCCCTCTATGTTCTAAACTACACCATTTATAGGAGACTCAAGTTTCTGATACAAGATTTTTCAAGAGTTACAAGTAATATCTATAATTATACCTGACACAGCCTTCATAAAGAGTCAAAGTGAGAGCATCGTCTGATCTCATCTTTGAAACACACACACCCTAAGTCATTTTAGAATAAGTGCAGTTAGTGTTTGCTTCACCAACTAAGTTGCTGGGGAAAAAAATATTGAAGGTTCAAACAGACAAATGTAAAAATGGTACCACCCTTTCAGTGCATTTACATTACCATCATTGTGGGAAATCTCACTGTGCTGCAACAAGCACCTACCATTGGAGGTCTTCACGAGACAGAGGAAGGCTAAGAGAAGATAGCATGCTTACCCGAGTCCTTTCTACATTACTGCTACAAATTTAACACAAATTATACTGATGACATAGCAGAAATTTCTCCAAAAGTAACTGAAGTCCCACATTGTGGAGACAAAGTCTTCACAACTGTGAAAGATACTATCTGTCTACATAAGGCAGGTACATATCATTAACTTCTGACTATAGCCACCTCTCATGAATGACCGACACTATAAAACTATCAAGGTCACCTCAGTGTCCGCTGGCTTTTCAGTAAGTTCTGAAGACCTATGAGCCCCTCTTTCCTTTCAGACCAGTTGGAGCTGGCACAGTGGTTCAGGACCTCGGCCACATCTTCAGTCTGCCGCAGGTAGTGTGGAATGCCCCCATTCCTGGAACCATAGGAGCGCTCCGAACAAGCGCTTGATGCATCGCTGTTAGCATCGTCATCGGAGTACATCCCGTAGGGTTCATATCTTCTTCTCACTGGCTTTTTCTGGAAAAGGGGAAACTCAGACTAAGTTATATATAGTTACAAAATACCAAAAGAAAAACATTCTATCCGTAATCATTAAAAGAAAGACTAATGCTATTGTTACAGTAACATAAGTGTTCAAAGACGTCAGCAAGCACTGCCTGCTTACCTCTTGCAGTAGAGCAAGACAGATCCTATTGATTTCAATGAGACTATTCGAGTGACTAAAGGGAGCAGGGCCTGCCTTCCCCACCATGAAAGCGAGATACTTATGCCCAGTGGAATTAGCTACTGGTAATGAAATAATATGTTGTTTTATTGTCAATAATGGTCAGTTCCACTGTTACAGATTCTATGATGATACAATCTCTACTTCAAGAGAAAAAAAAAAGAAGATAAGGAAGAAAGAGCTGAGGAATCTGTGCTGGCATGCACAGTCACTTTGATATTGATAATGAAGTGACTCTAGAAATGCACTGGGGTATAGGAGATGACAATTTCTCTGTTAGTTTGGGCTAGGATTTTTCTAGAGGCTACTAGGGGAGTTGAGTACTCAAATCCCACTCATTTCCATAGCATGGCATTAGAGGACCTAATTCCCTTAGGTACATCTTTGACAATCTCGATATTAGAAGGAATATTAGAATAATTATGATAGCAAAACAAATTGCATACTATACTGCAAAACAAACTCTTAAATGAACCTTGAAAGAACAGGATTGATAAGACAACGTATCAGAAAAAGATCGCCTATATTCTAAAGCGTTTGCTACAGAATTCCTTCCAGTGTCCAGTCCTGCAGTTCTTGGACTTGTGGAGCCAGCAGAGTTTTGCTTCCACTAGGACTGCAGGATTGAAGCATAGAAATTAACTCAAGTGCAGTATCATGGGCGTTAGCAACAGGGTGGGGAAAGTTGGAAAGTAGAAATAAAAAGTCAAGAAAGCACTAGTACCTTGCTCCTGGAGTCTCCTAACAGCTGTAGGCAGGAAAATATTGAAGGGTGGGAAAAAGCATAGAGAATTATGTCAGAAGCTTATGTAGGGTTTGTTTTCGCAACAAAAACGTACAGCAAATGTGTCTTAGCAAATTAAAAAAAAAAAAACAAAACAGTTTATGCAAAATAAAAGTGGGTATAATAACGCGTGGCTTCATCTCCTAACTGCTGCACTACTCATATACCCTACTATGTCCGTTAGGAAGCTTGGAAGTGAGATTATCTGTTAATAAGGTTTTTGATGACAGATCTATATACAGCACCTCTTTGCTTACTTTTCAGAAACGCTGCTCTGGAAGATACCAGAGTTTTTGGTAGTGATTTATTTCCCCACACATTATCAGTAGCATTTGATTTTAGAGTCTTGGAAAGAAATTCTGATGTCAGGAAACCGCTATCTACAGTACAGCACATTTAATCGACTTCACTTAACCAAGTTCTCTTTCAACCCACAGTTCTTACACCACACTTTTTTGAAGCTTAGCTTATTTTAAGACCCCCTGGCTTAAAGCCCTTACTTAACGCCAAAGTTTCCATCACCCTTTGAGCTCTTCTGACTGATCTGAGCACTGATTCCCAGTATAGACACTGTGGGTTTAGGCTAAGTCCAGCTCTCTAACAGAAGCAGTGGATCCTGAAATGTACACATGGAGTAGAGGTCACAAAATGACCCACTGTGTTTTGTTTAAACTGAGTATTTGGCTGAAGCCATCTTTGGAGAAGTTCATTTCCTACTACAGGGAAAAGAATACTCATCCAAAAACAAGGCTGCTGGGTAAAAGCTGGCATCAGACTCCTCTCTCTCAGAAGGAGCCTGAACCAAGTTTGTAAATCGTCTGTTGTCACAGAAGACAACCAAGAGCAAATTGGTGTGTTGGGAAAGAAGGGGACAACAAGATGACATTGAATCCCCTGAAGTCATTCAAATTCAGATTGACAATGTAGGCAGTAGCACTACTTAGTCTCCAGCTACACTTACGGATTTCCCTTTTAAGTGTTCAACTCTAAGATTTTAGCATTCCAGTATAATGTTATTTAGTTTATAAAAGTGGAATATTTAAAAGGGAGCTCCGTAAGTCTAGCTGAAGATTAAGTCACATCCAAAGACATCTCAGTGATCACAATGGTGTTTCAATTCACTCTTAACCTCTCCTCCCTCCAGAAACCTGTATTCAGCAACTGCACCCATTCAGGGATACAGTCTGATTTCATTTACACAGGCAAACCATCACCTATAATTATGCCCTGAATGGCTCTAGTGGCAAATTTGAGGTGTTGAGAGCAGAAACTGCCTCACAAGCTGTTGTATTTGATAATGAAAATGCCCACTAAATGCAACAGTGCCATCTATTATATACTGTCCTACTGCTACATTGTTCACAAGTACTTTTATTTTTTATGGAACGGTAGATTTTGTAAAAAGAGACATTTCTCTAGGAGTACTCTAATAATCACTTAGAAATGGAAGTGACATGAGCTGGGTAATAATTAAATATAAAAAGAAAAATTATGCTAGCCATCCTCAGGGAAAGTGAACTAGGAAAAAGGACATCCCTCAAACTCTGGGGACATGGTTCATTCTCAACAGAGATACCTGCCTCAGATACATCAGGAAATCCTCCCCTCAGCTCAGGTCTAGAGCTGGAGAAGATCGAAGGTACACTGGTATCCAGGTAATGCTGTAGAATAATTGCTCCTGCCTCTACACAGCTCTCTCCCCCAAAACCCCAAGGTAAATCCAAAGGCTTATCTTAACACTTGTTTTCTGAAGAGCAGAAGACACTTTCTGGGTTCTACCCGAGAGATATTATAGTACAGTAAGACTAGACAGGACAATAAAATTTCAAAAAGTGACAATAAATTTGCTTGGAAATGCACTGACTATTTAGAAAGTACGAGGAGCACACTACACAAATGCACTTAAATTTAACTGCATGAGATAGTACCGACTACAGACAAGCCAAGTTATGAGCTGATCCGAGTATCTAGCCAGTTGCAAATGATACAGGGCAGGAACTCGTGAAATTCTCAGTTCTTGTTGAAACTTGATCGGGAATTGACACTAACAGAGAACACTCTTTTTCTGACAAAATCTTCATGCGGGTAACAGGACTGATGGAAATCCCTGATCCCGCAGGTGCCGAGCACCCCACAGTGCCACGTTCATCCTCTGACAGCCAATGAAAGGCAAACAGCTGATTCAACCCATCCTGCAGCTCTAGCACCAAGCACAGTGGTCTGTTTGATAACTGTGGAGAACTAACATGGAGTAAGGAAATAAATATTGCTGCCGATATACCCAAACACAAAACCAGCAAAAGGTAAAACTACAGCATCAGACACTGGCACAATCAGAACAAAGCTACTTAGAAAGAGGAGAACGTACGTACAGGTAACTTTAAGCCACTCTCCGGTGTCAGAAGCATTTTGTATTTTTCCTCTTACCAGTGCATCGGCCACAGCAGCCTCCAGATCTGTGCTTGTGCTCAGGACTCGCATGGCATTCACAGAAGCAGGCATCCTGCCTGGCTGTCCGAGTCCAAACCGGTCTGCACAAAAGACAACATTGAAAGGGACTGTTAAATGAATTCACATTCACTTGGAATCCTAATCAGGTGCCCGAGCAGCTCTCCCCATGGGCTCTGGGAACTTGCAGTGCTTTTCCATTAAACACTCTTTTATCCACAGCTCTAGAGAGTTTGCCATTAGAGTAAGAAACAAACTATTGTTTGTTGGGCCCCAGAGACAATTTTGGATCCTCAGGGCAACTTTCAAATTTCTTTTTTAAGCTGGGAAGCAGGATATCTATTTTGTGTTTCTTTTTACACTGAAGTTGTTTCAAAGTTTTATTTTAATGTCAGAGGCAGACATGCCAGTCCCAATCCGGCACTTTCAGAAATCAAGAGAAAGCTTCTCGTTAACTTCAGAGAGACAGAACTATGCCCAGTGTCAGAACATGTTAATACCTGGGCACTCATGCATCCTGCAGCTTTTTCTCAGGCAAGGATGCAAGACTAGCAGCACCAGATTAGCCTATTTTATGTCTCAAGGGTTGGTTAACCAGTAGAATATTCCCCTACGCCCCACAGTATAAAAATAAGGTTTATTATTTGTAACTTGTGAAGTTAGTCCGATTTTTGGTTTATTGTTCTGTTCTTGAGAAGCAGTTTAAATGCCATTTAAAAGCTCTATGATATATCAAAATTGATTTTTTTGATCAAACAATATCATCTTTCTCCCTTTGAATTTGATGGCAAAGCTCTCAATGGCATCCAAAGCAACAGGATTGAGTCCATAATGCTATTTACACTCCTAATACTAATTAGTTTACTTTATCATTTGCCTAATCTACCAAAAAAGTTACTGAGATTAGTTTCTTTGGGCAAAGGCCAAATTCAGAAAGCCATGCTAGCAGGGATATGACAGAATCAGTGACTTGAGTATCACAGGCCCGGCTCTGGCAGCACAGTCCTTCTAGATGGGGTAGGTCAGACACTGTATCACTGGGATCCTGGCTCCGGTCTATAAGCAGCAAGAGATTGGTTTTGGCATTCCAAGTTTTTGTTTCCACGTGGGCTTGTCTTTGCTCAAGAAGGACTGGGAATACCCTTCCTGTTTGTTTACACCTCTTTCCCCTGCAGCCACATGTGCCAGTAAGAGTTTTGCTGGCAAGTTCAGTGGTGCACAAATCCAGCTGCATGAACCCATTTAATAGACCTTCAGCCGATCCACATTGGAGGCAGTCATCAAGCAGCAAGAGAGAAGGATCAAGTCACACAGGTCTTTCATTAGTTCATCTATATTTAACTTAATGAAGCAAAAATATTGTTTATCAAAACATGTAACTATATCGTGGATTTCCACAAAACTGAGGTCAAACATGATATTCAGCAGCTTACTGTATTTTTTTGGAAAAACACTGCGCTTATCACAAAATTCCATTGCTTTCTTATTTAAAAATCTACTGCACTGAAATATCTTTTAAGAAATTAGCTCACACTGACAAGCATAATTTAAAGCAGAGACTGAAGTTTGCCATTCTACTGTCCTAATTCCAAAGCTTTACCCAACTGTGTCAGAGATTAAGCTACTGAGGGAAAATAGGGAAGATTTTTTAAATCTGAAGTATTTTGAGGAGGAAAAAAAAAAAATCCTGAAGACTAATATTTATTTCAAATAGAAGTGTTATCTATCAAAATTTACAGTTTCTCAGAGTTACGTACCCAGACAAGACATTTCTGATTTACAACAAAAGCACATTTTCTACAAAACACATTACAAGGGGAAAAAAAAAAACCAAACTTCTTGGAACTACTGCCAAAAAGTAATCAAATCATGACATTTCACAAAGAAATAAAAGTCGTATGTGTTATTACTATCCCCTTTTTTAATGCACTTGGGTTGAAGAATCATTTCAAATAATTAGGTGAAACAGTACTTCATCCCTAAAATGGAAAGATCTGTACACTCTTAATAGAAGCACAGAGAAGATGATAATGCATTAGGTCTGATTGAAACTAAAGTCACTACTACAGAGATATACACTACAAAGATGTACAGAAGACAACTATTTTCCTAAGTGTAAATGATATCTGGTACAGTACAAGGGCTGTAAATGTTGAGACAAGTTCTGGACTCAGTTTTATATTTAAACCCAACTCAATGACATTACTCAAGTGTTACTGAGATCAGAATTTGGCTTTAACTTTTGAAATAACAGCATCAAAAAATACCATTGTCATTTGTTTTCATGTTAATTTAGTATTACATTAGAAAAGGGAAGATAGTTTGTTTTTTTTAAAATGAAGAACAGAATGACAAAGTAATTCAGTTGTACATCAGTTTATATACCCAGCATAAAGAAACAAAATGGAGCTTTTTTAACAAATTAAGTACAGTGTGGCATGCTGGCTTTTATCTGTCTCCACGGCTATCAGGAACTTTCTGAAATACTTCTTTCAGTTATATTTAAATTCATAAGACCCAAGTCACTCTGGGCTTCTCCCCCAGACACTGTTGCCATACCTGAGTGCACAAGTTATGCCGAGGTCTCTCCTAAGGTCTTTCTCTAATGTGGGGCTGGGAACACATCTGGCTCCAGGAATAACCAGTACAGGCAAGCCCAATGTTACTGGGCAAGAAATAAGCAGAGTATGCTCTGGCCACATTCCCTTGTCTCCCTGGCTAGATTCGTTATACTTGCTACAAACTTGGTGAAAACTCCCAACCATTTTTGGCCCGATTTTGCCATTTTTAGGGAGATTTTGGCCTTCTTTAGGACACACGTAGCCCTTTACAATTTGATTATGCTTTGTACCAAATCACAGGAGAAAAGCATGAAGTGACAATCCCAGGAAGTTGAAGGCAAAGCTTAAATCTGTATTACAACTGAGGGTTTTTTTTAATCTTTTCAAGTATTTTTGTTAAATACAAATTCAAATTGTTACTTTGAAAAATGCCAGAGAGTCATATCAGCTTGCATAATTTCCGCCAAGTAACCTGACTAGGGAAATGTTTTGAGAGTTTTAGGTAAGTGACAGCCATTTAACTAGACTTAAGAGAAACAGAGTATTTTTCACTCCCTACCTGAAGGGAATTAATTAAATAACTTTCAGTATCACTAATTCCTTATGCAATTTTAGCCTCCAAGCAAACACTGAAGCCCTCATTCATCTTCGACATAATCTTTGTCCCCACAACAAAGTTTCTATTGACCCAAAGCTAGCAGCCCTCATTCACTTCTTTTTAAGACTCCCAGAGAAATATCCTGGTTCCAAAGGGAGTTACAGGTTCTCCATAACTGCAAATCCAGCACAGGGGTGGGGAAGAAGCCACTGGAATCTGCAGTTTTTTCTCATTATATGGAAGCATTAATATCCTGATGCAAAGCCCAGTGAAATTAAGGGAATAATATTTTCAACAACTTCCATGTACTTGGGACAAGGCCTTCAGAATTATATGAAGGATGGATCAGCATGTGTTATCCTCCAAAGTTCATTTTGAAAGCACATCAGGTGCTTAACTCTTGCTGCTCTTGTGTATTTTGGAGAGGATCCCGCAAAGCACTTTCATTAACAGAGAGCGGAGTCCAGAATATTTAGTAATAAATGGGATGAAGCCCTCTGGGATCCGGTCCTAGGCATTGGGAACTGCTATGCTGCTAAAGAGGAAATATAAACAGAAGTTGCAAGTACTCTGCATCAGTCAGGATTTAGCCCATGCTGCACAACTGATCCAATTTACAGCAGAATTGAGAAAGCCCTGGATCACCCTTTGTTTAAACACTGCTCACAATGTTCCTAAAATACATAAAATTAAAAACATCCAATAAATGAAATTCAAAACAAAAAGCCACATTGAACAAAACAGAACAGAAAGCCCCACAGCGGTGAGAAGCACATGCCAAGTGCTGGCTGATGCACATGACAGCAAATGTTAAGATGGTGTAAAACAAGACTACGTATAAGAAGCGGATTCATGCAGTTAGCGCTTGTTCACCTGACTGCCCAACAGAATCAGCAGTGGAGAGAGCACTAGTGGACCTGGAATGACGTCGAGAAGCTGCAAGTAGAAGGAATGGCAACACCCACAGGATTAACACACATTTAACCAGAGACAGAAAATGCCACAATCCAAAGGGGGATGCGTGTGACCGCTACCAGTAAAGGTGTTTCATAGTGACAGGGAAATGACGCTGTATATGAATGCATAACAGATACAGTGCAAGCCCCACAGCGACTCCTCCATCTGTAGCTTCCCCCCGCTTTCCCCCATGACCGTAAACACAATGCATGACAAAACTCATTTGTAACGGTCCCAAACCCGGTGCAGTTCAGCAAAAAACCCCAGTGCACATCAGTCACGTTCCAGACCCACAGAGCTGGAAGACGGCCATCATGAGAACGTGGAGCACATCACTACAGAGCAGGGTTTAGATGTGTCTGATCTAAACCCCAAAGTGAAGCCGTGATGAATGATTAGGAATTGTGCTTGCAGGTATTTTTCCACAACATTCTAGCCTATGCATAAAAAAACAACGTTAACAAAGAGAATGAGTAACCACAGAAGTAGAAAGAGTCATACAGGGAGCCAACCACTGCATATAGGTCTTTGGGTTGGGTTTCTTTTCCAAGTAAACACACGTACACACATATCGTAGCTGTTGCTACTACCAAAAGTCTCTTGCTTTTAACAATTTTTGCGTACATGTTTCTTGAATTTAAGTATGTACATACACAGATAATCTGAATATGCACATCATACACCTATCTAGAATTACACCACATGTATACAAATTGTTAATAGCAACGGAGCACACACAGTAGCAGAAGAGCCAAATATAGCTCCCACTTAATTCCCAGTTGTCAGCAGCACATGAATCACAAAATGCCTTTGGAGAGGTTTTCAGTTCTTGGATTCAGCATAAAGGTGAGTTCTTTATGAAAGCAAATGGAAAGCTGGTCCAGCCATTTCCAAATTACAGAAATTTAGTTTTTCTAAAGAGGTTTTCCCTGTGTCTAGCAATGACATGCTCACCTAGCTCAAAGCAACTGACCCAAGAAACTGATTACTCATTTGAGCAATTCATCACCATAGACTCACTGAAGGCCTTGTTGCTTTAACATCATTACTAGTACTGTCAAGAAACTGAAAAAATAAAGCAGAATCACCTTCTAATACAAATAGGCTTTGTCAATTATGCATATACGTGTGCAGTAGAAAAATGATAAGTCTTCTGTTTAAGGCAAAGCATTCATAAACACAAATACTAATGTTATAAAGTAGAAATCAGCAAAGTGAGAAAAATAAAATTTAAGTTTTTTCCCAGCTGTGAGAGCTTGACGAAAAACTATACAGAATATGCAATGTGGTCTCTAACAATGGAGAACACATGCATTTATTCAAGAGAACAATCCCACTGACACCATAAGTAACTCATGAAAGATTTGCAGGATCAGTGCAGGATTATGGACTGAACCTCACAATTAAGATTCTGAGCTCGCAAATGCTTTCTCCCAAGCCATACGCTGTGCCCCTGTGGACGTCACTGCAAGATCAAGGCCCGTGAAGAAACAGGAATAACAAACAAACAAAAAACCCACCACCACCAAAAAAAATCACATCTCTGCAAGGAGGCTGAGTGTAGCATGACTCTTCACTGGTGTTGCCTAACTTAGGAAGCAAGACGTTTGGGGCACAGACATGCATACCTGCACAGCAGAGCAATTTGCAAGGTCAGGATGTCAGTGTTGACATTGACCATAATACCATTAAATGCAAGAATCCTATCATTTACATATAGCTGTCAAGTACAATTCACTAATATACAAGTTAATCTTTATGAGCAAAAATAGACCATGCACAGTAGGATTATATTATCTCAGAATTAATGTAAGATTAACTGGGTTCAAAAAATACTTTAATAGAATCATATTGGTTTGGCTTAAATTGACATATATAAATTTCTTTCAGATGAATTACACACTACATAATTAACAAGTTCATGAACATGTTCGAGCTTAAAGCATTTCCATGAAAACACAAGAAAAAAGGCAATAGGATAACAACTATATTGGGTTACTATTATACTGATACTTCCTTTCCACCTTCCCTTAATGGCTTTTGTAACAAATGTATTTCTAGAAACACAATAATCTTCAGGTAATTAAATACAATTAGTTAAAATGAAATTACCCCCTCCCCACAATAAAGTTTGTTACAACCAGTGTAATAGACATCTGTAACTGAGATTTTATATTCAGCGTACAAGTCAGACTCAGTGGTGGTGGTGTACCAAACTCACACCAACTGCGACTCCGGTACACTGCATTTATTTTTCAGAAAAAGGGCTCAAGACAGTATTTCAATTAATGTATTTTCACTCAAATGAAACACAGCACAATGACATAGAACACTGATGAATTAACCCTGAAATCCAGCCCGCTTGGACACTGGTTGGAGAAAATCTTCCAAAATTGAAGCTAGACTAAGGTAACTAATAATGAGCTGCAGTTGCTTATTTACTGTTCTTTTATGGCTCTGATATCAAATCAGTTTTATTTAATCAATAAAAAGTTCATCTATTTGTCTTAAAGAGCTATGAACCAAGTTCTGAATGTTAAGTTGAACTCCTCTCTTTTTTCACCAAAATTTGAGATATTACAGATAAAGCAAATAGATTATTTTATAGCTCACTACAGTTCAAAATAATGACATTTTGAACCCAAAGGCCTCTCTTATATTAACTTGAAGATTATACTCTACAGCATTGAAATCAATAGGAATTTTGCCAATGTCTTCATATGGACGAAGACAACAAGCCTCTCTACTGACAGCATTTGAAATTGAGATGAATAATCAAACCAATAATGACAACAGCTACGTAAGTTTAAAAGATTATTTAAAGTACAAGTTATTATTAATCAAGTATGAGAGCCAAACAGGAAAATTTTGCCCATCTGTCCATATTTTTCATAACCTTTTCTCACTATTGGATTAAAGCTGCAGAATTAAGCCTAAAATGGTATGTTCCGCTTACACACTACTTCGTATACCTGTATTTTGTCACTACGTGCAAAATAGATCCTGTAATAACATTTTTCAGCCTTGATGAAATTTGTAAGAGCTTTTTTCTCACTTTTAATACCACATGCACAGCTATGAAATTACTACATAAATGAAGAGGGCCTGGAGATCAATTACATTTCATTGTGTCTGAGATGACAAACAAATCTTTCATACAAGTAATGTATTTGGTTGAATATATGATATGGTATTTGATCAGAAACATTAACTATCCTGCTGTTTTCAGCCTTGTGCAGAAAAAAACCTCTGCACGTGGTAAGCGTAATGAGATTTTCTATTTGTACTGTACACTTAAACTGCACGATAACGATGCTCCTCTAAAACCTCAACCCTTCCATGATTTGAAGAAGTTTCCTATAAAATGGCACGTGCAACTTGTTAATTGATGATTGATAGTGTTGTGTAAAACCTCTACACAACAGAGGTTCTATATCTATTGGAGGATTTAGTATAGAAATGATATACTGTTACTGTACCTAGCTGTAAGAAAATCAGATCATGAATAATTAGAGTCAGTCAACAACAGGCTATGATGCTACCAACTACTTCACTGTGACCTGGAAAATCGAGGCTTGCTCTCCCGTAGATTTTTCCATCAGTGCTGTAAAGTGAAGCACAGCAGCCCCATATAAGCTGATTTAATGAAACTAAAAATTACAAAAGTTCAAACTAAACTATTTTCCTACTAACAGTGAAATGCTGAGAACCAGAATTGAAGCATGCAGAAGAAAACAGAAGGAAAACAGGGTTGGAAACGGGGAGCGTGTCAGGAATCCAACAGGGGACAGGAAACAAGCTCATTCCACCTGGCAGTGTCTCAAAAAGGCAATCAGAACAAGGGAAAAAGGAAAAAAAAATTGACCCTTAAAGCTCCAATGCCTACATGTACTCACCAAGTGGAGGAAAGCCCCGAGCAGGGCTTGTATCTCGACTGCTCTCACGGCTGGTATCACGGCTGCACCCCTGACTCATGCTGGGTCGGGGGATACGACTGCTCCGTGCTAGCATGCAGCATGGAGAGTTTCAGAGAAGGTGAACAAGTTTAATGAGGACAGAAAGCTCAAAGTCAAGTCACATTTCTGTTAGTTATGGTAATTATTACATTAGTAATTATAATTTGCAGCAGCCTGCTCAGGCTCTTTACAAACCAACTACCTTACACGCTGAGCTGTGTTTGTGATGTGACATTTCAGCAGCATTGAATGTCTAGTTGACAGTCTGCTTTTTTCTTAAGCAATTCAAGTTTCGTTATTCAAGTAGAGCAGGAATCTTCAATCATTTAGGGGAGCTCTACTGTTACAAAACATGCAAAACAGATGAGGCTAAAAGAAACCCTTCTGGAATAATTTTTCCTTAATTATAAGAAACCCTTCTGGAACAAAACAGCAGCGTTTTTAACTAAGTCAAAATTTTTAAAAGTAGTCACAATACCAATATGCTATTTTTACATAGATTTGTCTTTCACAAGGGTAGTTTCGCCATGAATAAATATCCTAAGGAAAAAAGGTGTATTGTGCAGACTTGTGGAGATATTTTTCTCCAATGAAAGATACTGGGAAAAAGCATTTAGAACCTGAATACCTGAAAGACGGGTTAAAAAGTGGTTTGAATTTTAAGACAGCAGCAGCTTCAGATCTTTAACAGAAGCTATCTAACTTCTGCTCCTCAAACATTTCTAAAACTTTGTATTTATGGTTTTATATGCACACAGATTGAGACATATGCGCACTTAAGGGGAGCTTTAAACTATATTCTTTACTTTGACAAACCCCTACATCAACAAGACTTATCTTTGGTCTCGCAGCTATCAAGTGTTCTATCTCCCACAGCCTAATAAGGCTCCTGCCTGTCAGCTGTGTCATGGGAACTCATCATACACGCACTCTTCATTTGGCCAAATGCAAAGTAGAAGATACAAGATTAGGCTGCTTTCACAGTAAAAAGTAATCCCACTGACTTTAGTGGAAGTTTTGTCCAAGTAGGAAAAACAGAGTTAGGCCCTTAGAAGGTTGCTTAACATCAAGGATTTGAATTTTAAGATTTTATAAAATGAGCATTTTAGGTATTTAAAACTGGATTATTCCTCTGCAAATTCTGTGTCATTTTGATAGGAAAGATATTTGCAGAGAGTTATTTAATAAGCTTTATGCCTGGTAGAGAATGCAATGTTTTCTTAGGTAAAAGAATAGCAGCTAAATGTCATGATTTTACCTTGAAGAATTAATGACTAAAGGGATTTCCTTTGCTGTTTTGAAACAGCAGTAGCATATTTTAAGTGTTTAGGAAAAGCCTTTAAGGAATTTTCTCATATACAGAGTAAAATCTAACCTACCAGCTTTGATGACAATGGAGCAGAGGCACATATACATAACAGGAGCCTGCTTTATACTAATAATTTAACAGTATTATCGTATTTATAACAATAGTGCCATTTGCATGCTTCAGAATATATATATTGTTATAAAGCTCTATTGGCTTGTATGCAGAACTTAAATGCCTAGACTCAAGCTAATAAAGTTCCCCTACAGTGCTTCTGTGGGCTCATATACACTGAATCTATTAGTATCCTTTCAAGCAAAACAGTACAGAACAAAATAGAAACCTCCACATTTAGGCTTTAAAATCGAAATATAGACTACTGCCAGATTCTTGGTTTGTCAAATCCTTCCCAGTTTTGCAAAACCTAGCTCATATCTCTCAGATGAATTAATGGTTCTGATGGTTGAACTTTGATGTCAGACAATACAAGATGAGTTATTGACCAAGTTGGTTATATCACCATAATGTCTAAAACTTCTGAGTGAGTTAGATGATCTTATAATAAATAAGATGGACTAAATAATACGAACTAGATGAAATTAGGGTCCATGAGTACAATAATCCCACCTCAGACGTACAAGGAAAAAAGCTGACAGGTGAACTACAGGTGAAAGTAACACTCTAAAGTCTTCCACACAAATACTTGCTTGAAACAAAGGACTCTAGAAGAAAACTTCTCATTCTTGGGTCTCATGCTTATATGTAAATAATGGCAGCCTTCACATCAGGTTTGCACAAGCAGTCATTTCTCTCAAGTAGAGAAGATCTGTCAATCTTTTCTTCAATACAATCTACTAAAACTAGCAAAGGCTCTTTAGAGAGGGAGAGGTGTGAACGATTAAAAAAAAAAAATTAATGGATGCATAAAGTACATTCTTCTTCCATAACAGCTAACAGCAGCATGAAGTATGAAGAAAATGCACTTTAACTGCATGAGAACAGACTAGCAGGACAATGCCACAGATGAAGCACAATATTGATTGCACAAACAGAGCACCCAAAAACAAACACCGGGTACTTCACGAATAATGGTCACACAAAAGATCTGCATGTTACTGGATACAAATACAAAAGCAAGGAAAAAAAGAATGGATTGAAAAGAACTGAATGATGGGTCTGTTGTGGACTCCCAGGCACCTGCCCCACATTTTTACTGCTGTGTTGTGTAGGGGAGATTGGATATCAGCTGTTGTGTAGGCAAGATTGGATATCAGCTGTTCAGAGTATTTTCTTTGGGCACCGCCAGCAGTAAGGACCAGCAGTGTTGTCATTTAGACTAGTCTCTGGTACCATCAGAGCCTGTCTTTGCAGTGCAGGCAGCAAAGGCAGAGCAGACAGACATAAGTCTCAATTTCATAATTCCCAACCCCCAAAAGTTGGACAGAAATTAAGTAAATAAGTAGCAAAATTGATTAAAAGGAGTAGGCAGGATGAAAGCAGTCTGCCCACAGCCAGCTCTGGACTGAGAGGACAGGACAAGGGTGGGTTGTTTTCAATGAAGTCCCAACTTTCTAGATGTGTCCTATACATCTAAGTTTTACCAATTTCATCTGGAAAGGCAGAACAGTTGGATATGGTTCACACCATTATTAAAACACAATATTAGGCTGTCTTACACCAGTGGAACCCAACAGATGCAAATACCACCAGCAGAACTTGACAGTGCCCTTTTTACCAATCTACCACTTGGAAGAAACCTGTATTTCATTAGAGTATGATTTTTAATGATTCTTAAGTGGAGACTAAACATCAGCAGACACTTCCTTTACATCAATACAAGCATTTTGAAGAGCCTGTAAATGCTGCCGAAACAGCCAAAAGGAAAGTTCTGCAGTCAGGTACACCCAGTAAAGGCAAGTCAAGAACTGCCTTCAGTTTTCCAATAAACACACGCAGCATAATCCCTCCAGAAAAAGTGCTGCTGCATAAAATTGATAACCAGCTGTGCCTGCTCCACTCCCTGGAGAATGACAATTTCGAATCTCTCACTCCTTTCAGATCCAACTGTGCCACACGATCTGCTGAGCATCCAACAGAATTAACTTCAAGCAAATAAACTTCCAATCCATAGGAAATGGACATCACCTTTTTTGAGGAGATCTCCTTCAAGGGGCCCAAAGAAAAGCTCGAGATTAAGTGGACTATACTCTTCCTTCCCCAATAGGGTATCACCACTGGTAAGTCTCCACTAAGCAGACTGCAAAGGCAAGCTTAAAACTGAAAAGCGCCACAGAGCAGGGCCATATACGTGACCACGCAGGACCTCAGCATGTCAAATGTGCCTCGTTGTGCTGCCTCTTGGAAAACAATGAACGTCAAGGTTTCTAGTATACAGAAGGAACGTACTTCATGGATACCTGTGGTCATCATGGAAGTCTAAGCTAGCAGCAACGTACTGATGCTAACGGGCATCCATGTGCAGAGGCTCTTTTAGATTGCCACTGCCCCAGAAGGGCCTGAGAGGGTCCAGTGGATGGTTCCGTTATAAAGCCCAACTGCACGCAGGAACCCACACTCTGTGTGCTTACTCTTGCGCACTCAGCGTTGGTCTGTCTGCAACTCCCAGTCACCCCTGTAAAAACTGCACAAGTCAATGGGCGAGTTAAGAAAAGGATCCAGGAATTATCCATTTCTAACAGCCTGATCTGCACAATGGTTCAACACCCGCTGCACTGCAACGTGACCACAGACTTAAGAGATGTTTCAGCCCATGGGGTAAGCACATGTGTATCAAATACATAAATAATCCCACAAAGCCTAAAGTACTGCATGTACATTTGTTTGCTCAAGCGCCTTCTTGAATCAGACTCTGAAAAAGTCTATCGACATGTTTAGGACCAAGGTGAGTGGGAGTCTATTTAATGAAATGAACAAGTGAAAAAAGTGTCAAGGAAAGATAGGGACTGAAGCAACACAATAAGAAAGCATAAAATACTGTTAGCTACTATGTTATAAAGTAATATATACAATGGAATAATGGTATAAAGATGACAGCTCAAAAGCTGTCTCCATCCAAGTCAGTATTACCATTTTCAAGATCCAATGAAGACAATTTCTGCAACGGAGTGCTAAAGCCCAAAAGAACAGGCTTTGGCCATCAGCCGGGAGGGGACGGGTGGAAATCACACATCTGATGGACCTGTCAGAGCTCTCTCCCACTCCCAAAGAACAAGTACTGACTTGTGCACAGGGAGCACATCAGAATAACAAGGTAACAAATTACACTTCCAAAAGAATTCAAGGCTCCCATAATACACCTGAAAGCAAGCAACCCAAGAGTGAGGATTTTACACATGGCAATTTCCCTTCAGATGCTCAAGACTGTTTCAAATCAGACCACATAATGTGATGATCAGCTTAAGCATATGTGATGGTACTATCCATCATTCATTGTTTCCCCCTAAAAACAATATTCTTCTGCACAGTGACAGCAGAACAATTACCTCTAATATTTGGGAGGCACTTTACATTTCAAAAGCAATGAACAGAAAAGCACAATGTATTCATAAAGAGACCATAAAATAGATCAGACATGAGAAGAACACTGAATTTGTAAAAATAATCACAATAAACATGCAATATGTTGATGAACCATAACAGCATATGCACTCAGGTGTTTAAATTCATTTCAATATACTTGAAGAATGAATAAGATACTTCTCTATTAACAACATACTCTAAATAGAAAGGTAGCTTAAATTTAAAATACAATTGCTAAGGCAAGAGTTAAAAATTTAATTGACAACAGTAAGGATATAATTTCAATCAATTTCAACCTACTAGTAAATTCTTAGAAGATATAAAATAACTCAGTAACAGTATTATTTAAAGTATTCTTCCTCTACATAAGCTTCAAACTTCTGAAAACATTTCCATTTAAAAAAAGAAAACAATATTTACTTGTTCAGACAGCACACTGAATACCTTTTCACCTCAATTCAGATACAAAAAAGTTTATATATAATGATGCTTACTCACCTGACTTAAAAAAATGAGTCTGCTGATAAATTTGAAAATAAAAACTATTATACAATATTTACATAACAGTCACTGAGACAAGAATATTGGAAGCAGAATAATTAAAGCGTAAGTGTAAAATGCCATATAAGAAAGTGGCTTCAAGATATTGAGGATGAGAGAAGCAAACAATTTAAGCTGCAAAATTTCTAAAATAATCCAAGAAGGTGCTCTTTGCCCTTGATTCCAACTGACTGTAAAGATTGCTCAACTCATTTTAGGACTAAGCCGTTCATGCCAAATGAAGTATTTTTGCTGTGACGGTTGTTCACGACAACTGTTTTTGCTGCCTGATCTAATAACATCACTTATGCTGAATTTCAAACAGAAGGCATCTCATGACATCTTTAGGCCTACTTTGAAACTATAGCTCAACCTAGAAAATTAAAATTACTCTCCTACAAACCACAATCACATTAACTTGCCACCTGAAAAACTCAGAAGAATAACAGTAACACGTAAGCAGTTTCCCAGTCAACAGGAAAGTCCCTCCTTTGAGCACACCAGTCAGCATGTCACTGCAGTGACTATTCTTACCTAGTCCTATTCTGTTGGGACTTGTCTCTCGACTGCATCCCTGGCTCCGAGGGATCTTGCTGCGCTTCTCTGAAGATGATGGCACTGGCTGGACTCTGGACGTTCCACCGCTCAGGCCACCATAGGCGCTTCCTAACAGCTTACCCGGAGAACTAGACCGGCTACCAGCTAGAAGAGAACCAGAAATAAGGAAAAAGACAATTAAAAACACCCAAGATTTTAAATACTCTGACGGCAAAACTGGAACAGGATCAGCTCGCTCCACGAATTTGATCTAAATCACTCAGAAAACTAATGGAAGTGTTCCCCATGGGCTTTCGAGGAAGACTGAGGAAAGCCCATGGACAATAAACACTGACATCAGCAACCCTGCCTAGATGAACCACGCTGCCTAGTTGGGATCATGACCAAAGCAGATGCAGCAGTCTATGAATACCCCAGCTGGCTTTACGCGAGCTTGTGGAGGTGCCAGGAGCAGCCTTGCTGCAGCTGCATGGAATTCACAGGCTGCTTCACTTCCTCGCGAAGCAACACAAATTAGCCTGTGTGAAGCGCTGTGCTGCAGCAAGCCGGCTTCTGGCATGGGTAACCTGCTGCAAGGTAGCTCAGGCAGCTTCATGCTACACTGCAGTGATGGCATTACTTTCCTGCAATAATTCAGTGAAGGAAAATTAAAAAAAAAATACCATCTATACAGCAGCAGATCAGCACAATAAAAGGTAAACCAAGTGAGCCTGTCAAATTTGTAGAGATGCTGGCTTACTTGGATCTGACTGGTTAAAGCTAAACTATTCAGTTATTTTTCAGCTAGAGAAAATTTTTAGCAAGTTGAGTCGTTGGCCTGTTTTATTTTTCCTTGTCTGTTTGAATAATCCATGGCAAGTTTACATTTCTTCTAAGCCATGTTGTCTGCAAGACAGTCTACTAACCAAGATTTATTTACATATTTACATTCCAGTTGCAGTAGATATTTCTATCTGAAATAGTCTTGCTAACTCAGTGAGTTGAATAATACTTCTTTTCTTTTTTCTGTGGATCTTCTTTTGCTAAGTTGTTTGAAAATTAAGTAATGCTAGCTTAAAGGTAACCACAAAGAACTGTGAGAGTAACAGACTCAAGAAACTTTTTTGCTTCTTTAGGTATATAAAAGTCACTGAAAATTGGCTGCTGATATTACTATTCCTGACATTCTATTTGTTCGCTAAAACTGCCAGGAAAACTATATTGGAAAAGGTTACAAGAACATACTCCGGCAAGCTCACATTCTGAACCAGTATTCATGTTTGTTTCTTTCTGAAAAGCATCTACACATATCAAAAAAATTTCAGTTCCAGATACTATTATGACTACTAGCAAGAGTTAAAGACTTCTGTCTTAATTTAAGAAGATATGCAATTCTACTAAACTGATGGACAATACCATAACACGTGTATTATTTTAACTTACTTGCCCCCTGCAATTTCTTGGCCAAAACAATTCTGAAGCAATCGAATCATATACTCCAATACTGTATGTGATGCTGGCTTCCCCCCCTCCCCAAAAAGTGAGAATACTTGTGACAGATGCCAGTCTCATACACAGCATCCACACCCTGAAAGCCAATACTCCTCTCAGTTACACTGCTGCAATCTCACCGATGTCAGCAGGGTTGCACTGAAGTAACTGGAAGAAGAATTTAGCACCTGGGGTTTAAGCTGCAGCAATGAGCCAGCTTCAGTATGCAGAATGTACGCTTACCATGTTTGATTACTATGAAAAAGCAAAATCACTTGCCGTATATATTTGGATTTACGACTTCAAGAAAATGCTTTTTAAGTCTCATAGTTAGGAGAGAGTGAGGGAAGCTAAAAGCTTAGCAGTTAAATGTGAAGGAAATAACATAAGAAAGCAAGAAAGGGAAAACATTTCTTACCACCAGCAGGATTAGCTGATCTGGATCCTTGATTATGAGGGCAGACCAAAGGACAGCAAAAAGTGGATTAAAAGACAGCAAGACAATACAGCGTTCAGCATGCGGTTTATGCTATACACAATACAGACAGATTTATTCACAAACATGTCACTCCTAAAGCCTCTGCAGAATGCAATGAGTTAACATGCAGATGCAACTAACAATTACCCAAGGTTGATCAGCTTCTTAGCTAAATGTCAACCAACACTGAGACCCAAGTTCTGCTCTAAATTACACCCCAGCCCAGTCTGCAATTGCAACAGCGTTATCCACTGTGTGGGCATGGAGAATTTGGTCCTGTGACTGTATTATATTAGAATTCCTAAGTTATTTCATGCAATGTTTGGCTTAAGGATAAAGATTTCATGTGGTTGGGCTAGGCTGGAATCAGGATTCAGCAAACTAGACCAAGGGAGCAGGTTCAGATGTGAACAACCTAAAGCTTCATAAGACATTCTATAAAAAATTAAGCCCATCATGTTTGAAACCTTTGGACACTCAACTATCCTTTAAATACTTCTGAAACTTGTCTCATCTGGTCTGATCATTTTTCACCAAACTAAGTTTAGGAAAAAAGGTCATTTCTGGCTTTGGATCAGTTTTAGGTTCAAAACTAAAGAAATCAATTTAGATCAGTATACCAAAGCCCAAATTCCTTCATGACCTCAATGTGAAGATTTTCATTCGGCCCCATCCTAAGTATAATACCTCTCTCTTCAGCTCTCCCAGCCTAACACCATGCTATAAACTGCTTCCCCATTCTTCCAGCATGACAGAGCAAAGCAATGAGAGCATGAACAGAGAAGGACTTTTAAATAGGGATACAAAGCAAGACAAGTCCTCAGAACAAACAGGTCTTTCAACAAACCCCATTTCCTCTTACCCACGAGCTTGACGGTCCTCAAAACATGAGTGGCTTTCTCCCTCCCCCCAATTCCTTCTAAAGTTTGAGTGACAAAATTCTCCTTAGATACACATGACAAATATGCAGCAGCACCGTATGTATGGCTCCTAGGAGAAAACCATGCCTTGTCAGAGAGCGCAGATGTGTCATGTGAATCAGAGAACAGAGCCACCTTCCCTGCATCTACACAAAATAGGTAATGTCCTATTTTAAATTGATGCCAAATCCCATTAACTTCAGACAGCTCACGCGTTACACATACAGAAATACAATCACATAAGCAGGAGAAGCTTGGCAGGGCAAGAACCCAGGACAGCAGTCAGCTACAGACACAGAGGGTGTCTCAGTGGGAGCCAGTGCAAGTTATTTAGTCCTACAGATCACAGCGACACGAAATTCTGCTGCGCAACTGGTAAAAAAAGGCAGCAACTAAGCACTCAGATTTGGCGCCCTATTTGCCAGCAAAAGTACACAGTGGCTGAGTGGAGATTCCTTTTGTTACATGTTCAAACGTTATTAGCAGAAGTGAGCCCAATCCTCAGCTGATGCTACTACAGTTCAAGAGAAACATATTAATAACTATTTGTTCTGCTCCCCCAGAAATAAAACACTTCTTACGCTGGGACTGGGAAACTACTTTAGCCCGGCTGCGGCCTCGGGTATCAGCAGGCGTTGAGGTGACGCTTGTGGCACTGCCAGAGCTCTGTCTCCTTGTACGAATCCGACCTGGAGGAACGCAAAGACAAGCAGACTGTCAATAAGTTTCTTCCAAAGGCAGCAGCAGTGTCTAACATGCTGTTCTATGCTTGCAGGGTTGCTATACACACAATTAACCAGAGTACAAAAGAAAAGTTTTACAGGGAGAGGCAACATCTTCCATTAGACTGGCTGAGACGCAGGGCAGGGAGTGGAAACGGTCACGGTCCACAAGCCTGAAAACTTCTTTGCTTTCTGTAATGCTATCAGCCGGTTTAATTAAAAAATATTACCTCTCTATAGCCTTTGCTTCTGTTCTATAGTAGCTTCTTTACAAAGGGTCAACAACAAAAATTTCAGTCTCCTAAATGCTGCTTCCTATATCTAATTATTACTTTCTGACAAGGCGATCACTCTTTTGGAGACAGGTGTGACAGATGCCCCCACAAGTTCCATCGCTGGGATTTCCAATTAGCAGTTCGGTGCTTTATATGCCGCCCTACGTGTGCAGGCTGGCATGCACTCCTGCGAGAGTCTGTCAACGCAGCCTGACTACGCTTTTATTTCAGGCTCATTGAGTTCTCCCTGCTGTTTACAGATCCCTCATATTTATCCTGAGATCAGCGTAACTTTACTTGTAATGGAGAGTCCCATTTAACACAATCAACGTTGTGGAAAAATAATTCTGTGTGTCTGCTCTTTATTTAAGCAGAGAATGGATATAAAGACTCAAAGTGTTCTTGGTCCTTTTTCTGTCCTTTCCTCATGAAAAAGCCACAGAAATCTGAGCTAGAAAAGCTTACAGGGTCATCAGTTCATCCCCTTCCTGGGGCAGGGCTGTTTCCTACAGAATGTTCTTTCCAGTGCTAAGCTTCAATTATCTGTCTCTAGTTAATGGGAAAGAAATGATAATTAAGAGCAACACAAAGAAAGCCTCCATTAGCGCTTTTCAACAACTCAGTTCTCAGCCAAATCTGAAGCTGTTTCTCAGGACTAATGCCAGTGCTATCCTGCATTCAGAGGATGACTTCAAGTTTCAGGCACAATAATAAAAGGAAAAAAAACCACAAAAGGCAAGAGAAGAGTCTAGACAACTGCACCCACCGGTTATAGATATTCATCTCCTGCCCTTTGTCTCCACCATAAGCATACAGAGAAATATCAACAGGGAGATATACACTTCCCACCCCAAAAAAAAAAAGTCCCTTCACATAAGGTACACATGCAGGACAAGACAATGGCAAGCAGCCCAGGTTGAACGGATTGAGAGCTCTGCTCTTCTCTGAGCTCTCAAAATATTCATAACATGGTCTGCAAGTTTCTGATAGACACAAAGTGACAAGGTGATGCTTAACCTTGAGAAGAAAGCCTCAACTTGTTTGCAGGGGAAAAAGCCTAGAAGACAGCTGTACTTCAGACCTCTCCACCAGCATCTAGTTTTAAAATAGCTCAGTAGGCAAGATACAGAGATCTACCTTCTAACAATTGTTTGTAGAAAAAGACATAGAAGATATCATTAGCATAAAACTGGGAAAATATAAACAAACTACTTTTTAACTACTGGCTCAACTAAACAAGCTCTGAGCACGTCCACGTGGGTCCAGTCATGAAACTGCCTGCTAAGGTCTTCCTCCCACCAGCAAGATTGCAGATCTCCTTTGCTCTAGGACATTATCTGCCCCTTACAAATGGTCAGCCTGACACACAAACCCAGAGACAGCTCTGTAGCTCTTTGCTGGCTCATTCCCATCCCTTGCAAGTTTGGCACTTGTGCAGCTACACACAGATGAGCAGAGCCATCTGTGCAACTTGCCACAAGGTGCATACCCCAAACCCCACCACAAGCTTCAAAGCAGGCGCGCGTGGGTGTCCTGGTTTCAGCTGGGATAGA